AGGTGAAGGCTGGACTATCACAGAGTCCAGTAATGGACGACAGGGACTCCAACCCCACTGTTTGCAATTAATTTAGAAACAAATTTCCCATTGATAGAAAAGTATAGGAATTCTTCTTTTTTCCATAAGCCAGTCCCAAAGCCTTATTAAAAATTTTCCCTCCATCCCCAAACCAGTTTCTCTTGATTCAAGAGTCTTGGGTGGTAGACCCTTACCAACACTCCTTTGGAAAACCCACTTCACACAAGTGAATGAATGAAGCAGGACTGCCCCTGAGAAACAAGCAGGGTACAGGCTCGTAGCGCTGTAGTCCTGTTCCTCTGTCGATTTCTCCATCCATCCTAGAGTGCCCAGGTGACCTGGTACGGGGTGAGGCTCCCTTCACTGACCTGGGACTCCCAGGTACTGCCTTGTGGGCGGGGTGCAGGCTGGTTCTGCTCCGTTTCTCAGCAGAACAGCCATTTGTAAAGCTCTGTTCCATATTTTGGCCAACACTTCCCCAATTTCACCCTTGAGTTCTTTGAAAACCCTTGGGTGGATGCCATCCAGGCCTGAGATTTATCTCTATCTGATTTGTACGTTCCTGCAGGTTAGATTGAGTGCCTCAAATCCATGTGCCCCAAGAGACCATGAGGCAGGAGGTGTCTCTTAACACCTTCCTGGTTCCTCCCACACAATCGCAAATGATCTTGAGGTCATCAATAAAAAAAAAAAGTCTCTAACAGCAAGATTAAGAATTCCCCTACCATCAGCTTCTTGTCCTTGTGTATTCAGAGAATGCCCTGAGATCTTTTAAAGGCCTCTTCACATCATCTTTTGAGCTACTTAATGCTGGGTAGGATCTTGGCTGTGCCCTGATGTGAAAGGAGATGCCCTTTTGTCTTCAGTACCTCCCCGACTGAGGTCCATGGATTCACTGGTGGTGATGGCAGTGGGGATTTCCAAAATCCTTTAAAAATCGTCTCTAAGCTCCAAGATTCGAGGCCCTGTTTCTAATGTATTGCTCCTAAATCCTGCCTCCATTTGGACCTAGACATGGGATAAACGTGGCGTGTTCTAAAGGATATTAGAGAGGTGGTGGTGGGGACCCAAATCACACATAGACACGGGGGTGGGAACTTGAGATTGTGAAACAAAGAGGCAAATTAGGGGAATGGTAAATCTCTCTTCTTTTTTTTTTTTAACTTTCACTTATTTAATTTTTTAATGTATGTTTTTATTGAAGTATAGTCAGTTAACAATGTTGTGTCAATTTCTGGTGTACAGCACAGTACTTCAGTCACACATGAGCATACATATATTCGTTTTCATATTCTTTTTTCACCAGAAGTTGCTGCAAGGTATTGAATATAGTTCCCTGTGCTATACAATATGAACTTGTTGCTTATCTGTTTTATATATATTAGTTAGTATCTGCAAATCTTGAACTCCCAATTTGTCCCTTCCCACCCTCTTCCTGATAAATCTCTGTTCTTTAAATTTCATTATTAGCTCCTGGGATGAGTATTATGGCAATGACCCTGGTCAAAGGAGAGGGAAACTGCTATCTAGACTTTTGCATGTCACACGCCAAGTGCTTCTGTGTGTGTGTGTGTGTGTGTGTGTGTGTGTTTGTGTGCACGTGTGCTAAGTGTTTGAAACCAGCCCTGAAGACCCCGTGCATGGAATAAAAGTGGGCCTGCAGAATCTATGCCCAGCGTTCATTTCCAGTTTTATCCCCCCTCACCTCATCCTCTCCCTGTACCTTCACGCTGAGATGCATCTACACTCAATGTCCAGGACATCTAACAGCCATTCAAGTCCCCCTGTGCGTGCAAGCCGCCTCCTCTGCCCTGGGTCCTTCTCTCCCGGTTACTCTGAAGGGTCCCACTCATCTGCTGGGGTCCAGCTCTGGGAAGACTTAGCGCATCTCCCTTTCCCGGTGTCTCCTCCGTTCTTATCAAGTCCACCTCATATGTTATTTAGTGGGTTAGATTATAATGGCCTCTTAAATATAATTGTTACTCTGCAAGGGAGTGATGGCCCTAGAGGTTTGGATGTTGGGCAAAAAGGAGTAATTTCCCTTCCGGGCTGCCTGGTTCTCATCTCTTACCCCATTACGTTCTTCGGCCCCGGCCAGCTGCAGTCCTCAACACCTTCTCCTGCAGGCTCAGCCCTGCCCGGTTCCTGAGCCAGGCTGCCCGAGCAAGGGGTCCCATCTGGGGACAGGCCACTAGATGGAGTCTCATTACCACAGAGCTGCTTCCATGGGAGCCTGGTCTCTGTGTGCCCAGGATCAGCACCTCTGTCTACCTCTGGCCTTGAGTCTCTTTTTCCCTGTCGGCTCTGTCTTGTCTGCTGTCCTGGCACCTGCCTAGAAGGAGCCACAGCCCTCCCCACGCCCGGCGTGAGGCTTCAGCCCCGCTCCCACGCCTAGCCCCAAAACGCCGTCAGCGTCCTCCTGAGGATGAATGGACTACCCCGGGCCACACTCCCTGCGCCCTCTGGCTCGGCGGATCCGCTTAGGCCTGGCCCCGCTACCCCTACACAGGCAGCCTTACGTCTGAGCCGAGTTCTGCTGCCTGGAAGCAGCCTCACAGCCCCAGACTGAGTAGCGGGGAAACCGAGGGATCCAAGGGCAAGCTGTTGCCAGGATGGGCGTGCGAGTCAGGCAGATCTGGGATCAAGTCCCACTGCATCATTTCCTAGCCGTGTGGCCTCGGGAAAGCTCTCTGAGCCTCAATTTGGTCACGCGGAGAATGGGGATAACAGCTCATGGGTTTGAGGTTAGGATTAAAGGAGTCAAGGTTCCCAGTGCAGCACGCCAGCCTTGAGCAAGACGTCAAAATCGGGGGCTGCTGCTGCTGCTGCTGTCAGTGTTGGCTGGTCCCCTCGGGCCATTGCCCCCAGTAGGGTCAGCCTCTCAACCTTGTTGGTTTGCCTATTTCTCGTCTGTCTTTTCTGATGCTCGTCCATCCCCTTCTCCTTGGATCATAGCTTCTGACTCAGAACGTGCCTTGTGACTTTGAGGGCCCCAGGTCCATCGTAGCCTGGGGTGCCTCGGTGGAGAAGGCACACAGATCCACCGGCGGGCTCAGGGCCGGTGGCATCTCGCACGCGGAGCTGCCAGGATCCAGCCGCAGCACCAACACACTCATATCTCCTTGTATCGCCAATGCTGCTTCTCGGGCGTTGCGACAGGGAAAATTCAAGGTCAGAATAAACAAACACATAAAATCAATTTTACCTTGGGAACTAGCTCCTTTACAGAGTGGCTGTCTGATACTCAGCTCCTTCACTCTGGCTCAGCTCGGGGTGGTGCTTCGGGGAATGTTGCCCCCAGGATCTTTTCAGAGGAACACAGGAGTGTGTGTGTGTCTGTGTGTCTGTGTGGGTGTGTCTGTGTGTGTGTCTGTGTCTGTGTGGGTGTGTCCGTGTGTCTGTGTGTGGGTGGAGGGGAAGTCGTTGATGTTTTCTCTCCCTGCTGTCTTGCTGTCAGCCTCCTCCTGTGTTTTTTCTTTTCTTTTCTCTTCTCCCCTCCCCTCTGATTTTCTAAGAGACTGTCTCTCCATTCCCCTCTGTCATCCTATTTCTGTTTCCTCTCCCCTCGACCCTGTTCCCTCTCCTCTCCCCAGCTCTCTGTCCTCCTCTTCATCCCTTCTCTCCTCGTTCACCCAGAATCTCTCTCCTGCCTTTTTCTCCCTCTTTCACTTTCCTCACTGCCCTCCCTGTCTCCTGGTCTCTGCCATCGTCTGTCTCCCTAGGATGGTAGTACTTCCTCATTAGACAATTCTGACTAGGTTTTCTCTTCCCTCAAAATGCAGGAGCCCTGGACGTCCTCTGACCAAGGTGGGGGCTACCCAGGCTGCTTTCTCCGCTGAGCAACTCAGCTGAGGAACCGCTGCTTTTGTGTGAGGTGGCCGCATGGATGGAGGAGGCAGGCTTGGTCCAGGGGAGAGGGATGGGCGAGACCGCAAGGGCATCAGTTCTGCCTGGGCTCTCAGGACGCAGTGGACCTGAGTGTGGATCCTGCTCTTTTCTGGTGCTGCCTTATGCAAGTCCCTGCCTGTGCTAAGCATCTGTCTCCCTACCTGTGAGATGGAGCCAATCATAGTCCCTACTTAAGGGTATTTCAAAAATGAGAATTCCAGGAAATCATACATGACAAGATCCCAGAACAGTGCCTGATGACTGGTAGGAGCTCAATAAGTATTTGTTGCATGAATGAATGAATAAATTAATGACAGACTTCATACAGAACCCGGCGTGTGGTTAAGTGCCCTGCGGATCGTTCATATCAGCTAAGGGAGAACCAGACGGGGCGCTTTGTTGTCAGACTTGGCCAGGCTGGGCAAAGGCGGTAGTGGGGCTGGGGCTGGGGCTGGGGTGCAGACCCCTGCCTGCTTTGTGGTCATGGTCATGGTCATGGGCAGGGGGGCAAGCAGCTTCCCCTGTTTCTGCTTCTGCGATCTTACTCCCACGCCGGCTTCACTGCAGCCTGTGCCCACCAGGAGCAAAGCTGATACAGGGGATCAGGAATGAGTGCACGTTCTGAGACGTTATGCTTTCCCTCCTGTGGTACCCTGAAAGTCGACCTGCCTCCTGAAACTGAAATGAACTTTTGCTCCAAGGAAGAGGTAAGGCTGTCCAGGTTTTGAGATCCACTGAATTTTTTCAAATGCGTCAGTTCACCTGTGGCATCTTAACATGCTCGTCTGTAAGACAGGATTATTTGTTACCACTCGCCGTCCAGGAAATCCTATTAAAATGGCAATGTGTTATAGTGTAATATCCGCCCGTGGCACATGACTCTGATGATCTTAATTTTTTTTTAATTGTAGATTTTTCTGTTTCACTGGCTGGAGCTCTCTATATGTATAGGGGAGGAGGGCGACCAACAGAGTCAGTTAAACTCCTGACGGAGGACATTTTCTTTAAGACATTCACTGGCAAGGATTTCCATCAAAACTAAACACGGTTTGAAAGTTTAAAATACACACACACACACACACACGTATATACTACATGTTACATATGTGTGTATGTATATACATATATGTATACATACATGTGTATGTATA